CCCGCGCCTTGGCGACTGCCGTGAAGATGATGTCCTAGACCGTAGCGAGGTTGTCAAAGCTGTTCGACGTTGGAGGTCTTCCATATTGAGAGTACTGGTCACCAGGTAGCTACTCATGGGTGACTCCACACTAGAAGTTTCGCAGCTGTTTGGAGGTGACATGAATTCCAAAGGTCTTCTCCAGTCAGGCTGCGACTGGAGATGACTTCATATTTTGGTGTACATGAAGGTGATGGGCGAGAGCCAGCTCCTGCTTATCGAGGAACATCTTGGGTATCTTCCGCCCTGGTACTCGTATCTTCTCTCTGGGCTGCAAAAACTTTGCTGATATGTGACTCGTTCGAAGTGACTTCCTTTTGCCCCCGCCCCTGTAGAGTCATTTGCGATGGTGAATGCTGTACGCTTTTTCAGACCTGTCATTTATGCACGTTAACGCGAATTTTTTCGGATCACGAAGCTCTCGCTAACTTGCTTAAACACACTCGTACCCATGAAAACCTTGCACGCTTGGTGATTGAGTTGCAGAGCTACAACATAATCATTCACTATCTTAACGTTCCACAATGTCGTAGCGGACTTTACCTCGGCTAACTAATACGCAGGTTAGCTTCCAGCAGTCATCTATGGACGCGGGGATATCATCGAGCATCCCTATTGCCTCATTACTGGGACTCTCCGGGTCTTCCTCCGAGGGTCCTCATCTTCCGAGCGTTCTCTTCAAGCCGCAGTACCATGAGGCGTTCTGATCGAGAAAGTCTGACCCACTCTGCTTCGCTATCATTACCTCTTCCCAACGCAAGAGTTCCCCTTGTCGATCGACAAGGCTACTAAGGCACGGTGGCTTGCTCTCGTCGAACATTGGGTGATCAGGAAAAACGGGTGTCTTTACTAACGTCAGCGCGGCAGCGCCACCGGGGAACCGGCGGACCATTTAGTGCTCCCGAAAACTTACGTGAGCCCTTTTTCCTGGCATTCCACTCCAGCCCATTGAAGGAAAACTCTGGCTAAGATTAGTAGGAAATACATTGCTAGCCACCACTTGCGACGCGTGCCAACGAATGCGTCACGCGAACGCCAATCGCGAACATCTCACTCCACTCGTTAGCAGGGCTATCTTCGATAAGGTTTACATAGACTTAACCGGGTCTTTGCACGTATCCTGGCAACAAGTACATCCTCGTCATGATCGACCATTTTACGAAGTACGTCGCTTCCCCCTTGTGCGACGACTGCACAGCTGTTTCAGTCGCTCAAGCTATCATGTCTGAATACATTCTTAAATATGGCGTCACGACTCAGTGAGTATCCGACAACGCCTCCTACCTTAACAGCGAACTGCTGACCGAGCCCGGCAAACTGCTTCATGTGACGGTACTACTGCACTCCTTACCATAATGAGGTAGCGGCGCATGCGAACGATTCTTCACGACTTTCCATTCAATGCTTAGCACGTAGATTAGCTTTCGTTGCGGCGTGTGCCTTTATGTATAACACCAGCGTCCATTCTAGTACAACGAGACTCCGTTTTTCTTGATCTTCGATAGGGATCCCGTCTTTAATATCGACCTCATCATATGCCACAATACGGACGTCACATACCTTCGGACCACGACACTAGCACCTACGCCGAGAGCTTGCTATCTGAACTTTGCTCCGCTTGACAGTCTCCTTACCATTACAGCCAGAAGCAGCGCCAGCTTTTTAAGAGGCAATACTCTCACCACCTCTGCGCTCCCTCCATCCGGGTCAGGAGCGCGGTTACCTCCGCGACATGACCAGCTGGCCTCTTGAAGTGAACCATGACCATAGTAAGCCTCTAATCTCCCCAATCGACTCCCCATTAGGTACACATGGATCGTGCAAAGAACTTCCAGCTTCCAAAAGCCCTTTT